CTGGATCCTGAATTTGTTGTTCTTGTCAGGTTCAGGAGAATTCAAGTGCCTTGACTGTGGTCTACGTCAAGCTTTTGAATGAGCTGTGGCTGTAGGGGGGCCTTTGATTGTTGTGTGTGTTGTTGTGAGCACAGGTGAGCATGGCTGGGTGATTGTGTGCAGAGAGGCATGCATACAGCCAAAGAACTTTGCTAATTGTCATATGCTGGAGGAGCAGCACAGAGTTTCCAAGTAGTTTGTTACTTCAGTTATCTCCCAACCCTTTGCACTCACGTCACCTGATCACGTTTTCGCCAAGGGGCATGTCAACTGCGAGTTACGGGAATAATGATTGAAGGGCAAAAGTGGCAATGGAAATGTTTTACTAGTTCAACCTCAGTTCCCTTGTTGGAAGAAGTAACATGTGCAAATGGAGCTCATAGAAAGGCATTTACAAAAGTTAGCTAGCTTGGAAACCAACCTTTAGCTTTCAACTTCTGCTCTATTCACTGATTTGATCAAGTTGCAGACTTTGCCAGAAGTCACTCTGCACCGTTTTGTGGGACAAAAAGCATTTCACTTTACCCCGGAGCTGATTTATTAATCTACAAACTCAGATCCTTCCCAATATTTTGTCACTGGCTGGATCAGTGGGACCAGGTGATGCTCTCACACCAAAGGAACAGGATATACCACAAAGGAGAATCTCATCATGCTAAAAAAGGGCAATTTTCACCCACATAGTCTGACATTTGAACAATATTATTAGTATCTAGCAATTCAGTTTGGTGGGTAGGCTTGCTCATGAAACATATGAACAGTACCAGTGAAAATTTTTTGCTAATCTGCAAACACATTGAGGGCTGCCAGCTGCTATCCATTGCTGTTTTCTGTCTACATCAAAAAGTATATGATTAAAAAGACAAGTTGAGCTAACACCCTTGTCTGTTAGTGCATCCACCAGTAGTTCATAGTTTCAAGCTGTAATTACATCTAAATCAGGGGTGCCCAATCCTGGTCCCGGAGGGCCGGTATGTTTTTAGTTTTAACCCTGCCGAAAGTGAACCTGACGCCTGATTTCAATCAACAGGTGACTAGGGCCCTGTCCACACGTAGCCGAGGATCTGCCAAAACGTAGATATTTTTCTACGCTTTGGCCTGTCATCCACACGAAAACGGAGTTTTTTCACACAAAAACAGATCTTTTTAAAAACTCCGGCCAGAGTGAAGATCTGCGTTTTCTCCGTTTTGGGTGTCTGCATGTGGACGGACAAAACCGGAGTTTTAAGGTCCGCAACGTCACTTTCCGCGACTAAAAAATGCTGACATCACGTGTGCGACTTGTGTTTACGCTAGCCGACAGCATGGATGCCCTCAGAGCTGCGCTCGCTTTATCAATTGTCCAAGCGCTTTTGCTTGTTTGTTTTTGCAAGCAGAATTACTGCTCCTTGCGGAAGACCACAGACGAAGGACGAGGTTAAGAACGGGGGAAGTACTGCCACCTACAGGTCTGGCATGTCCTTAACAACGTATTTATCCGGGTACGTGTGGACAGTTTTTTTTAAACGAGGTGGTGTGGATGCAAGTTTTTGGAGGGGCGGATATTCGTTTTTAAAAAAACTCTGCTACGTGTGGACTAGGCCTAGCAGACTTCTGCAGAGCTTAATGAGCTGCTGCACAGGTGATTCAACCACTCAAACAAGTGTGCTGAGTGAAAAAACACAAAACCTGCTGGATATGGGCCCTCCATGACCAGGATTGGGCACTCCTGATCTAAATGGATGAGTTTCAAAACATTCACCTCCTCAGAGCTGCCATGACAGTAAACTTGGTCTATACACCCTAAAATGTTTTTGAACCAGGCTGTTAACGTGTTCATTTCTGCTGTAAAGTTGCATTTTTTACATGAGAGTCACTGGGAACTTGCTCCTTTCTGGTGCCAGCCCCTGGTGGATGAGGGGGTTACTGCAATCTTGCTCCCACATTGGTTCCACTTTGGCAGGCAGAGTTTCCTCTTTGCTCTTTTGCAGGATTAGTAGTTTCCTCACAAACCTACTAAATAAAATCCTGCTCACGTCTTCTGCCCTCCGGTGGCCGGGCTAAGTATTCAGGGTGGCAGGGCTGATTTTATTAGCATAATAAAACGAAACATAATTATTAAATTATCACTATTGTCCAAGACTGTTATCCAATTTTGTTGTCTTGTTTTGATCATTGTTTCAAGCACCAAACTTAATTTATAATTCACTTAGCTGGGAAAAAACGAGTCATTTCCAACTTCTCTAAATAAAACCATTTTAATAAAATGTTCCACTGAACCTTCACAGAAACACTCTAATTATTTCTTTGCCTTTGTAGATGTTTCAGTGAGAGTCAGAAAACTAAATGAACCCAAGCGGTTTATAAAATACACACAAACGGGAAAAACTCCTAATCACATCACTGAAGCTCAGCCCTTCCACCTCACCATGATAAGTTTTCTTTGGAGAAGTCTGTGTAATCTCCTCTATCTGCTCTCGTCTCATTATTCCCTCCCACTCTTCGTCCTCCTGCTCATCACCTCCTCGCATCTCTCACATGAATAAACAACATATTCGAACGAGTCACCAGCATCTGCGTAAATAAACACCTCCCGCATGTTGGCTTTTAATCATACGGTTGGCGTTTCTGTTAGCACACACTCAAGTTCGACAAGGCTGGTTTCAGATGGGAGTTTACGGAGAACAATTGGCCAATATTTTGTCTTTCATTGATCATTAACGTTATTATTATGGACTGGGTAAAAGATGCAAATACCGTTTCCATAACAAGATTTATCAAAAGTGTTCCTATGCATTTGTTTTTTTGCGTATTTCCGTCAGCGAGAGGGGAAAAAAATAAAGGAGCGTTATCTCGTACTGTTGTCATTATGACGAGATATGAATCTTGTTTCAATGAGAAACTTTCGTAATGGTGGCATCGTGTTGTTTTAATGGAAATTTTCTCATGATAATGTGTTGAAAAAATCGTAAGAACAATAAAGGTCACCACAGTGAAATGGCGACATCTTTTGAGGCGTTCTACTCCAAATGAACAATACAGTTATTCTACTTCTTGATGTTTAACTTCTCTTCACCCGCCTCCTCCATTCACACCCTGTTTCCATAGAAACAGACTGACAGCGTTTTATGCTGAGCGTAGCAGGAACAAAACACCGAAACACCCTAAAAACACTCCAACGCCGCCAACGCTTAGAGAAGCGGTTTAATGTGACATCGGAACTGTCTTTTCGTTTCTGACGTTTTGTTAATGTTAAGACGTCTCAACATTTTTAAACGGGAAAATTTACAAACTGGATGCCAACTTTTTCTTTGAGAGCAGCTCTTTAGCTAAAAAGCAGAGGTACCGGGAATTTGCGTGGATAAGAATTCCACATGGATTTCAAAGAGGAGGACAGCTCGAGAGGTTTCTTTCATAATCTACAGCGTCTTAAAGGATTGCAGGCGGTACTCAGGGCACAACAAATCCCACATCCCCTGGCTCAGCAGGTCCAAGTCTGCAACTTCACAGCTGAGCATCAGACGGCAGGACTTGGAGTCTTATTTCCTGATATTTGGACATTTCGCCTCAGATTGGATAACAGCAACGCGACTCTACCACTGACTTTGAGGATGTTTTATCTCCACAAATAACACAAGCCTCGGGATTCTGCAGTGAGGTGAAGTTGCTGATGCTAACGGTTAGCTTAAACTAACCGGGATATCCGCTGCTGATTACAGGACATTGAAACAACAGCCTTCCCATCAGATAGGTGTGTCCAGATATGCTAGGGTCGTAGATATTTCGGACTTTTCAATCCTAGAGTTTCACCATCTACTTCCTGTCAGAATCTAATGCAGGAGATAGAGGTAGGAGACTATTTTCATGTTCGGCCTGCATGAAAAACTCAGAATGATCTATTAAAATAATCATTACAAAAAAATGTTTTTTTTTCAGTCAACCACACCTTTTAAATGTGTGAATCACTGCAAAGCTATTTTATAAATCTTATTTCTGATTTTAACCTGAATTAATGTGGCTGTTGTTGTTTTAGCCTCCCAGAAACAGCAGATAACCTCTCAGGTGATAAAAGCTAACTGTTAGCATTAGCAACTTTGCCACATGGCAGAATCTCCTCCAGGCTTGAGTTATATGTGGAGGTAAAACATCAATAATGCAAGTCACGGGTAGAGTCACGTTGCTGTTATCCAATCCGAGGCGAGATGCCCAAATATCAGGAAATAAGACTCTCTTAGATAGGGAACAGAGGTGATTTTAATAAAAACAAATAGGGTTTGATTAATAACCAGGAAACAAAAGTAATATTTAGGTATTGGAATCAGTTTACTTAAATATGTTCCACTCTGACATTTTCTGACTATATTTTTTATCTTATTGAATAAGAACGGCTTCAACAAAGCTTTGTTTGACTGAAATATTGATGCAGGCCTAGAGGTGATCTATGGCAGTAATAGGCTGATCAATAATGGATCTTTCTAAATGCAACATTTGATTTGCCAGCAAGATGATCCTGATGCCTGTAACCCTTTTGTTTACTTGAGATTCTGATATAATTTTCGGTTATTATGTAAAATGTTGCTTACAGGTCAAAATAAATGTTAACCCATGATCTTGAGACAAAAAAATGTGGAGCTTTGAAATAAATAATGCATTTCCAAGCATGTCCTCTCTTGGCTCCGGTTCTCCCTGCTCTTTGAGACAACATTTTCCCGTTGCAGTTTGGTGCTCTGCTGACATAAGTTATTCAAACACAAATGCAAACTTTGTGAAAGAAGCTGTGATTTTGTCTCCGGGGGTGTTTTAGTTGAAGGTTTACAAAAATGTAACTTGAACTCTTTCTTGTAAAGCTGTTCCTGCTTTTAAAAATCATTAAATCTTTACAACGTTTTTGAACTAAATAATTCAGTCTTCCCCAGACTCGGCTCCTTATGCTGGTTTCGTTTTGTTCTCATTTACTTTTCTTTCTCCACCTCTGCTCACAGATGACTGGTCACACCAGCAGGGATGCGACCCCTCCATCTCGGTCCACGCAGAAGACAATTGTTGATGACATCGTGCTGACCTTCAGTTCACCGATGGCCTGGCTGCTGGTCGGGGCTCTGGTCATCACGTGGTCTGGAGTAGCCATTGTATTGTTTGATTTACTTGATTATAAAACTCTAACAGGTAACACTACCATCTGGACACTGTATCTGCTACATCATGTGACCTACTGTTATCTTTGCCTTTTAATGATTAGCATCCATTAAGCTCTGATTATAACACGTGGTCTAGTGTGTTTACCTGATGTCACCTTTCATCCATTTTTCACATTCCAGTCATAGATTCTTTTTTTTTAATCCAAAATACCTTTGAGACATTTTTGAAGTCGACTTCAAAAGTAGATGTGATGTCACAAAGGTCGTCATCTTCAACCGTTTCCACACGTCCGGATACAGGAAACGCACCACCTGAGTTTCCCACTGACAGATGCTTTTCCCCATTTTACGCCTTAATATCAACTCACCCATCATTTAAATGGTTTTACACCAGCTTTGCGGCTGTGTGCATACTGACGTCTATCCATACCTCACTTGCTTTCCTTTTCAGGGATAACTTGAGCATTTTGAAGTGGGATTCTGTAGAACTGGTACAAACAATTAATATCTTACCTTTTGCAGACAGCACAGAATAAATGAATGTAAGACAAATGCAGTTCAAAGGGTTTCATAGATTTTCATGCAAATTCCTTTTCATCATTGTTAATTTTACATCATGCAGTGATTTTGACAAAAAGTGCTACGACGTTTTGCCATCCATACCCCCAGGCTGCATTGGAAGCGCTCCAGCTAGCTACAGCTGCTAACTTGTCTTAGCAAATGACCAAATGATCCAACACATTCTCACTCCCAGCGCGTCAAAAACAAACGCTTGGTCAGCCACCCTCCGTGTCAGACCCCTGACGCCAAAAGTGCCCTTTTTCATTACTTATGTGCGAAAAGGGGTTTTTCTCTTTTGTACCTGCAGATCCCAATGCAGCGTAAAACAACGACCCAACAACAAACAGAGACGCAGACAGGGTTAAATACACTGGGGCATGATGAGTGGAAGATAAGCTGTAGGTGCGTGGGGAGAGAAACCTAGTGAAAGCAATTAACTAATCAGGGAGGAAACTAATGTGACCTAAGAGCAAAAACCTAAAGACAAGAGGAGCAAGCTAAATAACTAATGTTGTAAGGGGGAAGGAAAACTACAAAAACCGGTGGGGAAAGAAACACACTAAAGAGAGACTAATAAAATGAAAAGCTGAACCTTATAGAAAAACTGCAGAGGGGTGACTAGGGGAGACCAATGGGAGCACAGGACCTGGGAGGGATAATCTGGAGGGGCTGCAGACCAGGGGACACATGAGGAACACAAGGAGACACATGAGGGAGACGCAGACTCAGACCATGACAGTTTGCTTATGCAAAGCAATGGGTCTGGGAACTCTCCTATTCAAATAACCCCACCCCCTGAGGATTCTAACCGAGCCAATCAGCGCTGAGCAGCGTACGTCACACACCATAACGTTCATTTTCTCATAAACAATGAAGATGGTGTCTGAAGCAGAGTTCGCTGCGGCTCTTTCCTCTGTTCTAAATGTCTTAGACATGTCTTTAAAACCACAACAAGAAGAAGCGCTCAAAGCCTTTCTTCTAAAGAAAGATGTTGCCAGACGTCATTTTTGACTACAGCTAAAAAACGACAGCATTGTGCAAAACTGTTGACATTTCCGCCTTTTTATGATTGGTTATTTTTGAGCTGGCTAGTCCCGCCTATCATGTGCTTCTGCCCGTAAGTAACCAAACTAGGTCTCTGTGTAGAATTAAACAGAGGATGGGTCTGGCAGGCCAGGCTATCTTAATACACCACACATGGCAAGAATTTCTGATCAAATAATCTTAGAGCAGTTACGGTAATCGGGCACTTCCTTGAGACTGTCAACAGGAGAGACTCGGCTCAGAAATTGGGACAGCAGTAGCTTAAGAGGCAGAGGTGTGACCAAGTCACTGCTTTGCTAGTCACAAGTAAGTCACAAGTCTTTCCAGTCAAGTCCAAGTCAAAGACAACCAAGTCCAAGTCGAGTCCAAAGTCAATGATGTGGAAGTCCAACTCCTTAACTTTGAATTTTCAAGTCATAATCAAGTCATCTGTCAAACTTCTATTTAATGACGATGATGATAAATAAATTCCAGAAATAAAGATTCTTAAAGCTTCACTTATTTGCTCAAACAAGCAGAAAGCGCAACTGAAACTGTTTCTAAACAAAGAGCTGCTGCATTTAGCAGAACAAGATCAAACACAGAACAAAGAATGATTCATGATTTTTGCCCATGTCGTGCCACTTTTGTGCTAAAATATCAAACATGCTCAAGTCATCATCAAGTCAACAGATGCAAGTCGAATCAAGTCGTAAGTCATTGGCGTTCAAGTCTGAGTGAAGTCGTAAGTCTTTATAGA